ATTCACGACCCTGGAGGATAGGGTTGGGTGGGGTTCTCCTGTCCTCCCTGCAGCAGCTTCCTCGGGGCAGAGAGCTCAGGCGCCTTCCCTTTGCCTGTGGCAACGAGGCACTGAAAGTGGGTTCCTTTCCCGGGGGGGCTTTCCCCCTTCCTAGAAAAGTTTCCCCAGACCCATAACCCCCCCCCCCCAATTATAAGCAGGGCTCTTTTTGTAAGAAAAACCCAGCAGGAACTCATTAGCATATTGGGCCACACCCAACAGCAGAAATTCATTAGCATATTAGGCCACACCCCACATTTTACCAGAAGTGTGGTCATCCAGTCATACCCACCTTTTGCTTCATTCTGTTTCCCTTGTTTGTTGTCAAAGGGGGTTTGACAAAACCAATAAAAACATTTTTTTTAAAAAGTTTCCAATTCCATACTTTCAATAATTAATGTTATATTTATTTTAAAAGTAACATTAACAGTAACATAAGCAAACATCTCAAGAAACACTCTGGAACTTGGAAAACTACACTGAAATGGTGAGATAAGTCTCTAAATCGAAGTTGAAATCATCCCTCCAAAAGTTTCCGAAATGGTGACGGATGGACAAGTGATGTTTAAGAGCTGCTTCGTGCAACCTTGGAGCTGTGGTGGCTCAGTGGTTAAGATGCTGAACTGCAGGCTGGAAGGCCGGTAGTTTGGCAGTTTGAGACCCGAGTGCCGCATGATGGAATGTGCTCACGTCTCTTGTTCCAGCTCCTGGCAACCTAGCAGTTCGAAAGCAAGAAATTGCAAGTAGAAAGATAACGCTTCGGTGGGAAGGTAACGGTGTCCTGTGCACCTCAGGGTCTAGTCATGCTGGCCACATGACCACAGAAAACGTCTCTGGACAGCGCTGGCTCTTTGGCTTGGAAAGAGATGAGCACCACAACCCTAGAGTCGGATTCTATTGGCTTTCCAGCAAGGGAAACCTTTACCTTTTACCTTTACCTCTTGCAACCTTAACACTCAAAGTCAGCAGACGTTAATTTGGTCATAGGGTGAATCTCTACATCAGCATGCCCTAGGGTTTATTTATTTACTTGAAATATATATTAGCTGTCTTTCTTCCTAACAGAGTTCAACAGCTTATAATATAGATAAAATAGAATACAGAAATACATAAAACCCAAAACCAGTTCTGAGATCAAATGATGCCTGCCTTATAGTGCAATCCTTAACAGAATTACAACACCCTCTCGCCACCTTGAGCCTGCCTGCGCAGGAAAGGCGGTTTATAAATTGAAAATAATAAATATATTAAATCCACTGAGGTCATTTGGCTTAGAAGGCTGTAACCCTTAGGATGCCAACTGATCGAATGGAATTAAGCAATGTTTGTAAGATTATGGGAACTTCCCATAGCAAAAGGGAAATTTTAGAAGAGGCAATTTCTTTTCCTTTCAAAGGGGGGATTGTTTGGAAAACAGCAAACAAGGTACATCAGCACTGCTTGTTTTTTTTAAACCCTGTAGCCTAACATCTGGAAAATTCAGTAGACTGCAGCCGGCATGACTAAATGCCTTGGTGCACGGAATGCTGCCTGTCACCTTCCCACCGAAGCACTACCTATTTATCTACTTGCAGTTTCTTGCTTTGGAACCGCTAGGTTGGCAGGAGCTGGGGCCAGAGATGGGAGCTCGCTCCGTCACAGGGCACTAGGGTCTCCGACTGCTCAGCAACCAACCTTCGAGTTTGCAGCTCAGTGTCTTAACCTCTGGCCCACTGCGACCCCTGTATTTCTCAGGGTATAATATACCTAATTACACATGCACAAGCTGTACATACCCCCCTACACAACAACGTTTAAGCACAGAGGCACTGTGCGTGTTAAGTGCTGTAAAGACACTTCCGATTTCTGGTGACCCTATGAATTAATAGCACCGCACCTTTAAGACCAACAAAGTTTAATTCTAGGCATAAGTGCACATGAAAG